GAAGAGACGCCGGGCGCACGCGGTACCGGTACTTTAGATACACGGCATTCTTATACCGAGGGCCTACTTACCCGCCCGCGGCCGCCACACGGGCACTTCCGGGTCGCGGCGCAGTGACGTCAGGACGTACTGAGGAAGCGCAGCAAATGAGACGCCACGACGGGTTCCGCCCACTTCCTACGGGCGGGGCAAGGTTTTCCAAGTGGCGCGGGCTCCTCCTGCGCCTGTCCGCGGTCAGGTAGTGTTCCCCGAGATTTAAAAGGAGAAAATAGGCAGTGTACGTTTCTCTGTGCTTGAAACAGTTGCCTGCTTTGCGTAATCGGTGCTACCTGGTCTGGAGGCTTCGCCGGGCAACGTGAAGAACTTGGGTTTGATTAAGTTCTTTGCAGAGCGGAGAGACTGGCAGAGCATAGGAAAACGGATCTGCGACTTAAAATTCCTTCATCTTTCCAAAAGTTTTCCTTGAAAACCGAATACGCTTTAGTAATTCTGTGCTTCCTATCACTCGGTCCCTTATCTTCAGGGGACATGGGTATCTACATTTTGAAACGACAGACTGAAAGCAAACTCTATGCAGAGACTCTTTGATGCCCATCATCTTTTTTTTTTTTTTCTCCAGTAAATTGGTGCTGTTAGGAGCAGACAAGTCTGTTGTTCTTTTGTTAAATTACAGGGGGGATGGAACACGAACCAAGAGAGTCATTAACCATGGAGTTTATTAAAGGGGAGGGAGGAGGAAAAAGGGGGGAGAGGGAGAGGGAGGAGAGAGAATTAGAAAGAGGAGAGTGGGGAGAGAGAAAAACCAGAAAGAGAGTGGAAAGAGCAGAAAGAAAGCAAGAGAGCATAAGTGGGCAAGGGTCTGTCATTTAAAGGGGTCCTTTGCACCTGCATACAGACTAGTACTCATGGAACCCTGGCTGACCAGAGTGCATTCTGATGGTGACAGGGGCAGGCCAGCATAATGCCTGAATCCTTACATTCCCACCTTTACTTATTATTAAAACGGTAAGGAGTTAGGCATGGCAGGTTAGGGAATAAGGACATGGAGTTCTCAAGACTACTTCCTGCTGACCTGACGGGGGGGGGAGGTTTGACCATCTTTGGGGGACCTGTGAAAGCTGAGATGCTGCCATGTCCTGGGATTGCTGGTTGTTTCATCACAGTCCTGTCTGTGTGGAACTCTGGCACCTCTTTAGACCTGGCAAAATGTTGGTAGAGCAGAGGACAAATTTAGGAAAATTTTTTTTTTTTAGGTCCTGGTACTTGAGGGGAGGAGGATCATAAGATAAGCGAGGGGTTCCCGAGGAGATGGAGTCCCTGGACCAGGGAAAAGTTGAATAATATCTGGAGTGAATCTGACCTGTTTGGGTGGATCCAATTTGGCTCCCTGGAACTTAGAAGAATCCTTTGAGTTTGTGAAAACATAAGTATTAGACACATTAGCAGGATATTTATGTTAGAAACGACTTGGCTGAAAGCATTAACAATTTTTAAACTGACAGATATCTTTAGGACAATGAAAAGTACCTTAATTTTTACTTTGCAGTTATCATATAGTGGAATAATTTGGTGTTTTGTACTCTGTCAGAGTTGGATTGGTAGCTTATTAAAACTTCATTGATTAATGTTAAGACTATGAACAGTAGCATAATGATACAGAGAAATCTGGAACATGTTTCATTCTTTTGAATGTCTCAACTCACTTCATTTGTCATCACTTAAGCCTTTTTATCCTTGGACCTTCATAACTTCAATTCACATGCCCTATGTTACCATCTTAAACCTTCCATTCTCACACCTTTATAACTTGCATTTGTCCACCTTGTTAGACCTTTCCATCCTCAGACCTTTGTAACTTACATATTCAGACCTTCATACACCTTACACTTTCCTATCTTCACATAGATAAACCTAAAATACCTGTTCCTGAAATCTGTTTTGTGACAGTTGGAACTTTGGCTGCTGCTTTAAGCTGGCAAAGCTACCAGTTGTCAAAAGCATCTGAGTTCTTGAGAAGGATAAAATTTTACCTGAATTATTAGAGAATGAGAGAGACTTGCTAGCTGGCTGTATGGACAGCCATCCCTGAGTCCTCCATAGTTGTTGAGGGTGGCGGCTTTAAGGACACCTGCCTTCTACTGATAACATGGGACCTGTGGATTAGGAGTTGTAGGAAGACTTTCCTACCGTTGGCCCAAGCAATGGGTAGAAACTGGATTCCACTGTCCTCTTGTCCATGGTCTGCAGAGTCCTTTGCAGCAGTTGAGGTGAAAGGCAGGGTTGCTCAGTGGCTAGAGTTGCCACTTTTGTGGGTGGAGTCTCTTCAGTGCCCACCAGTCTTTTTGGAGGAAATGGGGTGGGGCCAGCAGCTGGTCTGTCTCTCTGTTATAAAAAGCTTTTTAATAAAACATTTTAAATGTCACATTCTCTAGATTTCTGAGCATTTGAGGTCTGTCTGTCTGTTTAGTATATCTCAGTAGACAAAATTTGTCTTTAGTTACTTGCCTTTAGCACATAGGTGGCTAGGTAAGGTTTTATCCCTATAATTTAATTTGTACGGCTATAGGTTAGTAATGAAAGACCCCCAGACTCCTAAGGGCCTCAGGATCCCGAGGAGCCCCCAAGACTCAGAAACCAGACCAAGATCTGCAAAAGCAAGAGGGTTTATTGAACGAATTTGCATTTGGGTGTCAGCAATATCGGGAAAGCTGCACACCCCAGAAAGGGTTACAGGCTCCTTATATAGGAAAAGAACCGAAGATCAGCATACAGGCAAGGGGCACAAAGTGATTGATTACAAAGTATGACCTCATGTTAGAGTGGTCACCCAGGTGTGACCTGCTTTTCTACAAAGGAAAAACCACAGAACGTACCCTGGAATGTCCTTGATTGTCTGTTGGCCAGCCAGGTGTGACCCAAAGAGTGTTGTCTTGGCAATTGCCCCCGTCTAAACCATAGGATGTGCCTGTGTTTGGGGCCAGCTTCCTGGTAATGGGCCAAGGCCTGTGGGAAACTTTTTCTCTCTGTGAACTAAAATCTTTTAAAACTTTTTCTCTCAGCAAACTAAAATATTTCAGTAAGCCTACAAAGTAGAGAAAAATTTCCTTTTGTAATAGAAGCTTAACCTTTGTAAACAGCTTACAAGAAGGACTGGGTGGTGTAAATATTTTGTTAATTTGAAATAGACCTCTATAACCGTAAATGATTATCATCATCTAAAGATACATAACAATTTAGAAATATTTGAGACTTAGCACAGTTGATTTTAAGTTGCATAGAGTTAGCTTACATTTTTAAACAGTAGCTACCTGTATGCACATACATAGAGATATTAACAGGACTGGGTAAAGGTAAGAAAAATAAAGATGATTTCTTTTTGTTTTATGCTTGAGCAGGTAAAATATGTGTTATATGTTTTGTAGATTTGTAGGTTTATTTCTTTATGTCTGTAGCCAGGATTTCAGTGGTTTTTACCTGATAAAAACCTGATCCTGTCAACCTGGAATGAATCCACAGAGCCTCCAATTTCCTGTGGAAATAAAAGCATAACCTGTCCCACAAACCAACATATCTTTTGACTTCCATTTTAATGTCAAGATATTTTTAAAATATATAAGTTGCTTTAATCCAGCAGTTTTCATAATCCAATGAGTCTTAGCGGCTGTTGTTCTTTCATTAGCAATCAGAAAATTTAAAGACAATAATATATAGAATATAGACTCCCTGTATATTTTCCATGTTCACATGGCTTTTTATTGTTTTTTTTTTTGCTTTATTCCTTTTTTGAGGACTTTATTTTATTATTTTAAGCTATTTTTTAAAATCCATGACTATATATACCCTTTATCTTCTCTCTCCCAAACCTATGTATATTTTTAAACACACTGTATCCTGTTTAGAGATTTCTTTTGTCTGGATCTGACTTTACTGAGCATCTGTATTATATTTTGATCCCATACAAATTTTAAACTGCCAGCATGACACAGCTTAACATATGCATTGGATCAAGGCATTGGCAGCAGACTCCTTCCTTCTTGGTTATTTGAGAGCTTAGCTTCATGGCACAGGTACCTGGAGGAGTCATGTGTCATGTTTACAGTCCCAGCTCTAGGAAGTTGTTGGGTCCTTGCAGTTACCAAGTAGCATGCAGCCAGCTGTCACAAACCTCACTTAAGTGTTCGGTAGCAAGGTCTCTTAAAAGAGTCATACTTGTGTTTACCAGTAGCATCAGTCCAGGAAGTCTCCTCTTAAAGGTGCCACACCTCTCTTTGTCATTATTATTTAGCCTACCCAAGAAAACAAGGCCACCAGGAAGGTGTGTTTGGCTCCATTCTCGTGTGCTTACAATCTTTTTTAAGCTTTGTTAGGTCTTATGTGGAGATTACAGTCCCATGTTGGACAACCAGGGAGATGGCAGGGTCTAGTCATTAGAGCAGTTAGAGTGTTCTGTGGGTGGAACTTGGCAGTTGGAGGTTCTCGGGGAAGGGGCCTGGCTACTAGAGTGTGGCTCTAGGGACTTACACTTGTACAAATCAACCATAAGGGAAATGAAAACTCTACTTTCAGAAGTGTAGGGTGAAAAGGGCCAAGGGAAAAACACACTGTCCTAACTACACCCGAGATCTGGGCCAAGGAAAAACCACCCTGAGCTTGACTTGACCCCAGAATTAGTGCTTGAAATTACACCATTTCCTGAACACAAAATCCCACCAATCCCTGAACTTGCCCCAGAATCAGACCACAAAAATCCACAATCCAAAGCCACCCTGGAAAGCCCCCCCCCAAGAAAATCCTATATAATCTCTGTATCATGCTCATTTTGCTGCTGCTGTTTCTCACCCCAGACAGCCACCCTCCTGGATTCTTCCTTCCTAATAAATCTCTTGAATGAGGTTTGTTGAATGGTA